CATCCATATACAAGAATGTACCTTTGGCCGCAGCTAACTTCTTTTTTTTTTTTTAAGATTTATTTATTTATTATGTATACAGTGTCATGTATGCCACCAGATCTCATTACAGATGGCTGTAAGCCACCATGTGGCTCCTGGGAGATTGAGCTCAGGACCTCTGGAAGAGCAGCAAGTGCTCTTAACCTTTGAGCTATCTCTCCAGCCCCCGCAACTAACTTCTTATACGTGAGTCAAAGAAATGAACTTTCTGGTCACTTTTCCTGTCTTCCCTCCTCACCACCTGTCCCACCTTCAACAAACGAGGGCCTCCAGGCACGACTCCCTTCCCGAGTTCTGTATCTTTGGATGGCATCGATAGAGGATGCGCACTTATTTCAGCCCTGCCCACGCCTCAACATTTCAAACAGCTCAAGCAGCTGAGCTGACTCCTAACGCGTGCACAAACCATTTGTGTCTGCTGGTTTCTGCCACCCATCATACTGGATTCCAAATCTAGACGCTGCCTCTTCAGCCGTCCCTTCCCTCTGCCCGCTCTGTCCACCCATCTCTTTTTGCCTACTTGATAAGTGTCCCCTTTCCAGCTCGTGGAGCCTGTTATGCTCTCCAGAGCTCCACTACGTGGGCAACTTCTTAGTTATTAAGACACTGTTCTTCCTCTGCTGGAACCAACTTTCCGTTTTCCTTGCCTCATCTCTCTAGGAGCTGCCTGCTACCATCTCAATGGGCCTCTGCCTCTTGTTCCTCCAGTCTCTCAGCTCCACCCTGGAAGACTCACAGTTTCTCTGTGCCCTCCTGGGTTTCTTTGTCTCTCAGCTTCTGCTTGGAGCTTATAAAACTCCCTCCGGTGGAGTTCGTTTCTGTGGCTCTTCCTCCATGGGCTCAGATAGTAACGCCCACGCTGACACTATAAACAGCTCGGCCTCTGTACGGTCGATGGCCAAAACTGGCGTGCTTGATTTTCTACGGTGACAACTTCTGCCACTGCGCAAACAAATGATCCGAAAATCTCTTATATCTCAATTTCTCTATTTCTTCCAATCTATGCCTGCCTGGGGTTGATCTTCCATATAGATGTTTATTGTCCAACAGACCCCACCTCTAACTAACAGCCCGTCCTAACAGGGTCAGGAAATTGCTCTATATCAGGCTGATTCGGTCCCGTACAAATCCCTTATCCATCTCTCCTTCACCGGGGCTTACCCTGTCTGTTTTCTGTATGACCAAAATGAAGATTACTGTAAACTTAGCCAGAAACTTAAAGAGGTTACCAATATGCATTCTGCAAATACCATGGGACAGACCTGGGCCATCCTAATTGCACAGCAGCTACTGAATAACACTGCCTGGTCGCTTTGGAGAATGCTGGTTTTGGGTCCCTCTGGGGTCAGACTCCTGATCATCATCATTCATAGCCTCACCCATTGGACTACTAGACTCTGTTACCTTGTCTCTAACTGCTCCCAACCAAATACCACGACTGCCTCTGATTCCCTTTGATATTGCAGGCTGTTTTAACTCCTCAGGGGCACACGTTATGGGCACACTGATCCCTCAGACTGTAATCATACTTTGACTCCGAGCACTGCCACCCAGACCTAATGTCTGAACGTCCTCAATGCCTCTATCCTGGCTGTAACTACTAGCATCGCCTCTGGAGCTCTGGGACTGACTACTTCGCTGGCTGTCTACCATCAGCTGTCACCTCAGTTCATCCAGATCTCCAACAGGTGGCTCAGAACATCCCTACCCTCCAGGGCCAAATAGACTCACTGGCCGCCATAGTGCTACAAACCCAGCAAGATGAGATTTACTAACAGCAGAGACAGGGGGTCTTTGTCTCTTCCTCGGGGAGGAATGTTGCCTCTGTGTTAACCAATCGGGTACAGCAAAAGACCAGATGCAGCAAGTCCAGATGGATCTCCAAAACCATAAGAACTCGATGCCTCTGGCTAGTGGATCATTGGCAGTCCAATATGGAACTGGATACTACCCTTCTTAACCCCTTGTTTCCTCTTTTCCTATTGTTTTATTTTTTGGTTTTTTGAGACAGGGTTTCTCTGTGTAGCCCTGGCTGTCCTGGAACTAGCTCTGTAGACCAGGCTGGCCTCAAACTCACAGAGATCCGCTGTCTCTGCCTCCCGAATGCTGGGATTAATGGTGTGTGCCTCCACAACCCGGTTCTATCCTCTTGATGTTTTCCTTTTGGCTTAGTGGCTGCACATGAATCTATTGATAATTCAATTATCATCTGCCACCCTACAGTCCCTCACTCAGTTCCCTACCCACCACTTAGTGGCAGCCTGGCAGGGCTTCTGGTTCTGCTGCTCGGGTTCTGCAGTGGTAACCATGTGCCACAATGTGTCTATTTATCAGTAAGACTCAGATGTCACAGGATGGGGTGAAAACCTGCTAGCTCAGAGAGGCTGAGTAGCAACTAGCTGACCTTGTTTTTTTGGTCAGACGCACCACAGAGACATGTCTCTTCTCTTGTCCCAGAACCAAGAGGAAGCTCAAACTCCAGTGCCCACCTTTTCCTTCCTGTGTGTCTTTTCTATCCACGGTGCTGACTTCTCTATGGCTGATTCTGGTCAGCTAGTTGCTGGCTCAAGGTATAAAGTTACAGGGCAGTCTCATGAATATCAGAGCGTGATCAAAATACCCCACACCTCCTTTTCTTAATCCTACTAGTTCATCAACTTCTTGTCTAGATTTCTTCAACAACAGATCCAAAAGATTTTTAACCAGACTTTTAACCAAGCTATTATACGATTACCAGCCCCAACTAAGAAGGCAGAGGCCTGCGGCTCCCAATTATACCCTGATGGTGAAGGTCAAGTGTGGCCAAAGGACTTTGATGTCCCCATTTAACAGGAAGTAGTCTAATTATATCACCCCTTCCCAACCCTTCAGTGTGCTGGAGATGGCAAAGCATAGCCCCACGTGCGGTTTCTGAGATGCAGGAAGCAATTCCCTCCAGGCAACCCAGTGGCAGTTTAATGAGCATGTTACTTCAGGGCCAAGGAGAAAACACCTACCTGCCCCAGGACCGCTTCTATGGCGTCTGCATACACATTTGGCAATGTGACAGATGATTCTGGCTATAGCAATTCTACTAGTGTGCTTTTTCTCCTTCCACACCAGTGGTTTCTGAAAATATGTGCTGTATGATACCGAGTCTTCCTGATCTGACAGAGAGGGCAGGCCTTGATGCCGTGAAGCAGGTCATGGGGGAAAAACCTGACTGATGAAAGAATTGGGGAAATTTGGGAAAAAATGAAGAAATTGTTTTTTGCCTGATTATGAAACTTGGCAAAAGAATTATACTGAAACAGGAAGGAACTTGGCTATGATGAATGAAGTTTCTGAAGAACCTAGGGCTTTAGGGTTGACTGCCTATGGCCTTATAAATCAAAATTGGAATTGTGAGGAACAACACTGGGAAAGGTCCAGCAATGGAGTGAAACCCACTGAACTATGCTTCTGTAACTAAGTAGTTAGTGTCTGAGGTGAAAGCCTCATAAGTTGTTTTATGATTACCTCAGCTAGGAATTAGGGATATAGTGGCTTGGGGCTTGGGAACTGGGAAAATGTCATAATGAATGATGAGGTTCTGATTTCAAGGGATCTTTGTATTTTTTTTTTTTTGTGAACTGCTTTGCTCAGGTAAAGATTAACCTCTGACAAGGAAAAAAAAATCAATTTCCTTGTGTAAAATTTACAATAAAAGACTGAGGTTTGAAGCTCAGGGTCAGAGGGAGAAGCCTCCCCTGCAACTAATGGCCTGTCAGCTGGCATCAGAATCCTGTGTTCGTGTACTCGCTTTGCCTTCCAGACATCCCAGATTCAAGACCCCCTTCTCTGCTCAGGCTGGTCCCTGGCATTAGTGAGAACGTAAGCCCCTCAAGGCACATGAGTGGCCAGGCCCTGCCCCTGAGAATTTCCAGCCACCAGGTTCCATTCACACAGCCCTAACAGCTGGACCCAGCCCCTGCACTAGATGAAAATCCCAAGATCAGGACGTGAAATCCCACCATTCCTTGAGCTTGCTGCAAGCTCTGGCTTGAAATCCCACCAGTTCCCAGGTGCTGGGGAGATAGGTCAGCTGGCACAGTGCTTGCCATGCAAGCAGAGGACCAAGTTCCATGCCTGAAGCCATGGGAAAAAACAGGTGGAGAGGCACAAGCTTGTAACTCTGGTGGTTGGGAGGTGGAGACATGTAGGGTTCACTGGCCAGGCAGCCTAGCTACTTGCTAAACTCCAATCTGTTGAGACCCTTCATAAAAGAAGCTAGCTTCTGAGAACTGAGGTTGTTCTCTAGAATACACACACACACACACACACACACACACACACACACTCTCTTCAACATTTCAATATGATACAAGCTGTATTTTTCTACCCACCTCCATTTTCAACTATTTTGTAGATTTTCCCGTGCTGGTGGAAAGGAATGCTGAAAGTGTCTCTTTCTCTATCTAGTACATTTCAAATAACGTATTAACGTGGTTAAAGGCAGCCCAAGTTTATTACATTACTATATTAAGACTCGGGCTATGACTAGAAGCCTTTGTCCACACATCTATTCCCATTTTCCACCATGGTATAGCTCGAGTTACCTTCTCAACATCTTCCCATGACTTCTGGGGGTGGGGGGGAGGTTAGTGAATCACTGTTTTGCCTGCTCGCCTATGTATGCAGCCTCATGAATGCCTGGCGCCTGCAGAAGCCAGAGGAGAGCACTGGACCCTCTGAGCCGCAGTTAGAGCTGTTGTGAGTCACCAAGTGGGTGCTGGGAACGAAACCTGAGTCTTCTGCAAGCCTTTCAACCACTGAACCACCGCTCGAGTCCAGAATCCTGTCATTTGAACCTCTGTCATACTGGGGATATTTGTAGTTATTTTTCTTCTGAGTAATTATTTGGTAGTATCTACCAAAGCTGACCGAATCCTAAGACACAGCAATTCCATCCCATGAATACACAGAAAAGTGCATACGTGTACATCTTTATTATGACCCTAAGCAGTAAACAAAGTAGAAGTCCATCGAGAGCAGAATGGGTAAAAGTGATATGCTTATATAATGGAATTCTATACAGAATACAAACCTTCTGCCGCATGCACTCATGACTGGACTCAGAGATGACGAGTGAATGGAGCCGAGTGAACAATCTGTTTTATATCAAGGTTTATAATGTGGAAGACCCAATTACAATGTTACAGGTTGAACTGTGGTTAACATGGAGGAGGTAACAATTTTTACTTCATACAGACAAGCTGCATTTGGACAGTGGTCTATTACTGATTTACAAGAAATCCATGTATCTCATGATATGGGAAATAAGCAAATCTGAATGGTTACAACAGTTCATCAGAGGTCAGTTTAGTCTGCTGAACCCAGGAATACAAAAACGAAGCCTTTATTTTCCATTTTTGGTCATTTCATTTATCCAGTGGTATTTGTATGTGTGACATACTTGTATTGTTAACAAGCAGCAATTGTAGGGAATCGAACTTGAAAGCACTCCGTACCAGAAAAATCTGCAGGGCTTGGTGGCGCAGCACTCGGGAGGCAGAGGCAGGCGGCTCGCTGAGTCTGGTCTATGTACCAAGTTCCGGGCCAGCCAAGGCTACATCGTGAGACTCTGTCTCAAAAACCTAAAAAGCAAATAGAAAAATAAAATCAGAGCACTCACTGAATGTTCTCTGCCCTGTGAGTTTTCTGGTGGGCAATGAGGTTTGACTTACAACTGAAGAATTTCCCACACGCCTTACACTCGTAGGGTTTTTCTCCCGTGTGGGTTTTCTGATGGCGAATGAGGTTGGATTTCCGACTGAAGGCCTTTCCACACTGGGCGCAGCCGTTGGACTTCTCTCCTGTGTGTATTCTGTAGTGCACAGTGAGGATCGCTTTCTGGCGGAAGGACTTCCCACAGTCAGTGCAGATGTAGGGCTTCTCCCCGGTGTGGATTCTCTGATGGAGGGTGAGAGTCGTCTTCTGGCAGAAGGACTTGCCGCAGTCGGTACAGATGTACGGCTTCTCTCCGGTGTGCGTCCTCTGGTGGACGGTGAGGGTTGTCTTCTGGATGAAGGCCTTCCCACACTCTGTGCACTGGTAGGGCTTCTCCCCTGTGTGAGTTCTCTGGTGGTCGACGAGGTAGGACTTCTTTCTAAAGGCACTGCCACACTGAGCGCATTCGTAGGCTTTCTCGCCCGTGTGTGTTTTGTGGTGTCTGGTGAGGGTTGCCTTCTGCCGGAAGGACTTCCCACAGTCCAAACAAAGATAGGGTTTCCCCTCTATATGTGTCTTTTCATGAAGCGTCAGGGCTGTCTTCTGGCGGAAGGCTTTCCCACACTGGCTGCAAATATAGGGCTTCTCTCCCGTGTGGATGCGCTGGTGCTCGATGAGGTAGGACTTCCTCCGAAAGCTGTTCCCACAGTAAGGACACTGGAAGGGCTTCTCCATTTGAGATCTGGGGTGCATAATAAAAACGGACTTTCTGCAGAAGAATTTCCCGTACTTGTTGTATGCAGAGGACTTCTTTTCCAGAAGATTATGTGGATGAACACCAAGGTCTGGCTTTTCTACGAAAGCCATTTCGTCTCTACTGTAGTTGAGGCTTCCGTCTCCTCTGTGAGCTCTGTTATTTGGAAACACCATTCCTCTCGTAAAGAAGGAACTGTCATAGTCATTACATCCAAATGGCTGCTCTGAAAGCTGGGTGTTCTGCTGCTGAGCCGGCTGTTTGGAACTCAGGGCCCTTTCCGCTGGTTTGTGCAGAGTGGCTACAGGGTGAGCTTTCTCATGCCTGCAATTCGGGATCGATTTCTCCCATCCACCGTCACCCAACTTCTGTCTTACAGGGGTTATGTCTCTATTAATGAATTCTGAAATATTTTTCAAAACTTTCCCATCAGGGTTATATTCAAGTAGTGTTTTGGAAATAATATGGTTCCTGTCTAGTGTAAGTGTTTTCCCATAAATGTTACTTCTCTCCTTAATGAGTTTCCTGTGGTTGATGATTACAATGGATTTAGAATGCTTGTCTTGGCAGTCTTTGAACTTCACCAAAACATCTTCATCTTCTAGAAGAGAATATAATTAATTAGCAATACTTTAAGTCTATATATGTACATATATATATAATAGATGTGGTATATATACATATATATAATAAATCTTTTTGTTTTTGAGACAAGGTCTCATGTAGATGTTGATCTTGAACTTGACATGTATCCAAAGGTGGGTGACTTTGATTTCACACACACACACACACACACACACACACACACACACACACAATGCATACATGGAAAGCTAAGATTAAAGACGTGTCACCACTACAAGAGTGAAGACAAACACATCAGGATACCAGTACAAAACTGATGGAATGAGAGTCTCATAGCTGGGCATGCTGGTATCTACCTCTAAGTAAGGAAATGTGGGTGATTTCTAGTCTTCATTCTAGGTTCTGTTACGAGAAGGGGTAAACTCCCTGGCTCCCTTGATCTGAAAGCATTTTTTCTTAGCTCTTTCTAACCCTGTCTTAGGGTCACCACTGCTCTGACAAAACACCATGCCCAAAGCAACCTGGGTTGGAGAGGGTTTGTTTGGCGCACACTTCCACAGCACTGTTCATCACCAAAGGAAGTCAGGACAGGAACTCACACAGGGCAGGAACCTGGAGGCAGGAGCTGATGCGGAGGCCGTGGCAGAGTGCTGCTTACTGGCTTGCTCAGCCTGCTTTCTTACAGAACCCAGGACCACCAGCCCAGGGCTGGCACCACCCACCACGGGTTGGGCCTGCTCCCATCAGTCCTGAATTAAGAAAAGCCTTACAGGCTTGTGTACAGCCCAGTCTTACGGAGATATTGTCTTGATTGCAGCTCCCTCCTCGCTGGTGACTTGAGTTTGTGTCAAGTCGACATTACACTACCCAGCATCTCAAACTCACTATGCACCCAAAGATGACCTGGAAGTTAGTTTTTAGAATTATACTTATTTACTTTTGTGTGCGCATGCACCTGAGTGCATATTTGCACATGGAAATCAGAGGACAATTTGTGGGAACTGGTTCTCTCCTTCCACCATGGAGACCTGGGAGATGAATTCAGGTCCTCAGGCTTAACAGCCCCTGCACGACCTCGCCCACCCCCACCCCCTCCTTTCCCATCCTCTGTTTTGTCTTCAATTCCCTCGACTCCACTGCTATGTCCCCCTTCACTTCTCTGCCTTTTCATACCGCTATTCATCCATGCAAGAACCCGCTCTCTACTCCAGCTGCTCCAGGCGACTTCAGGCTCCCTAAGCCTGCGGGGGACACTTAAAGAACTCAGGATCCCCAAAAGAATTCTTGGGCTAAGAAGAAATAGCTTTTCAGAAACAGTTTTCAAAACGGTGGGTCCTAGAGAAGACAGCCTCATCCGGCTCCTAGGATCGCACGGTGAAAGGAACTGCACTGGTCCATCATATGTGAGTGCCCTGGGTTCCCTACCTAGCACTTGACAGACACTTTTCACATAACCGAGCAGGTATCTGCCATCCAGGAAGGATGGGCACAGTACTGCACTGTACTGGTTCCTGCCACCATCTTCAGAGCGAAACCTGTGAGGTCACTGTGTGTTTATGCTTGCCAGTGTTTGCATCATCCTCACACACATGAACACGCATGCACACACACACCCCCCTAAGGAAATGAAAACACTAGTTTGAAAACATAAATAAAATGTTTTTACTTCAAAAGTGCATTTTATGAGGGTGGGGTAGGCACACACGTTTGTGTGGGTGTGAGTGAGCACACGCGCGTGTGTGTGTCTGAGTGCAGGCCAGAGTCTGAAACTGGTGTCTTTCTGAGCTGCTTTCTATCTCATTTTGTAAGGCAAACAAACAAAAACCACAAAAGACTAAACATCAAAAACCATGTATGAATCTTTCAACTATGAAGTTGGATAAAGAAAATGATCTAGCCGGGCGGTGGTGGCGCACGCCTTTAATCCCAGCACTCGGGAGGCAGAGGCAGGTGGATCTCTGTGAGTTCGAGACCAGCCTGGTCTACAAGAGCTAGTTCCAGGACAGGCTCCAAAACCACAGAGAAACCCCGTCTCGAAAAACCAAAAAAAAAAAAAAAATGATCTAGAATAGATAAAACTAATTCTAGTAAAATCCAAAACTTAGTGGGAGAAAATGCATCATAATAGATTTGATGGGAATGACGGAGTTAATAGAAATACTCTTTATCTTGCCTGGGGCTTGGAATACATGGTCTGCACATCTGTCAGATCTGAAGAGCTATGTGGCAGTCTCTACATAACAATGAATTCTTGGTAAGAGAGCAGGAGTCAATATTTCTCCCTTCCTCCCTCCCTTCCTTTCTTTTTAATGGCTCTTTGAGACAGGGTTTCTCTGTGTAGCCCTGGCTGTCCTGGAACTCACTCTGTAGACCAGGCTGGCCTCAAACTCAGAGATCTGCCTGGCCCTGCCTCCCGAGTGAGGGGTTAAAGGTGAGTGTCACCCCCGCCTGGCAGGGTTTCAGTTTTGTGATATGACTGGAGTCTGACACAATGAGGATGTGGTGCATGCCACTGAACCGGGTGCTTGAGTCGCTAAAGACGGCAAACTGCACCTTACTGCAGTTCTGAAGTTGATCCCCCCGACATTCAAAGCCGTCAGACGCTGAGATCAGCGCCTAGAGATCTGTTGTTTGGGCTTTAGCAGTTGTGTGACCACTCCCACTGGACCCTTGTTTTCCTGCGAAGCATCAGAGACCAAACCCAGCTCCTTGCGTGTCTCAGGTGCACCAGCACCAAGCTATGTCTTCATCCATCCCACACAAGTTTTCTATCTATGACTTACCTAGACAGCTTTGATTTGGAAAAACTCTCTCTGCCCATAGCTCTTCTCCTTGCTCCAACTTGCGGATCATATCAGGCTTTGTTATGTGAAATCCTGACGATGAAGAAAAAGAAAGGAAGGAAGGGAGGGAGGGAGGGCAAAAAGAAAAGTGAGACTTGATCTAAACTGCTGGGACTCCAAACTACTGAGAAAAACACAACCTCAGGGTGGTACATGGGGTATAAGTTAATGTCCTACCAGTTAGTAATCATATATTCTGGGACTGGAAAGATGGCTCAGCAGATAAAAATACTGGCTGCTCTTCCAGAGGACCCAGGTTCAATTCTCAGCACCCACGTGGCAGCTCACAACCTTCCTTAACTCCAGTTCCAGGGGACCTGACGCCTCTTCTGGCCTCTGCAGGCATCAAGCACACACATGGTTCACACATACACATCCAGGCAAAACACTCACATACATTAAATAAAAATCTTTAAAAACTGTCTATCGGGCCAGACATGGTGGTGCATACCTTTAATCCAGCAGAGGCAGGAGGATCTACCTAGCATCGAGAGACCCTGTCTCTAAAACAAAATAGTCTATTTTGCTAACTAAAAGAGAGTCACTCTGGGCAGAGGAGATGTCTGTTAGTGATGTGCTTGCTGTTCAAGCGTGAGGGCCTGATTTCGGAATTCCTAAAAGGACATGAGAGACACTTACCCACAGAGACGAAATGGCAGTAGTTTTCCAACATCACATCCCTGTAGAGGGCCTTCTGAGCAGGGTCCAGGTGCTGCCACTCCTCCTGGGTGAAGTCCACGGTCACGTCCTTGAAGGACACGGGTCCCTGTAAGGGCACACTGTAGCAGTTCATCCTGAAGTTACTGGAAATGGGGTAGAATTAAATGCTAGGGGCTCGTCTGGGAATGATCACTGGGTGAACTAGTTTTTAAAAATTCTATCTTTTAAAAAGATGTTTATTTTGAGGTTGTTTTTTTGTTTATTTTATGTGTAGAAGTATTTACCTGGATATAGTATGTGTACCACATAGAGGCAGTGTCTGAGGAGGCCAGAAGAGGATGTTAGGTCCCCTGGAACTGGAGTTACACACTGTGAACCCCTACACGAGTGCTGGAACTGAACAAAGCCCTCCACAAGAGCAGCAAGTGATCTTTCTTGAAGGAAGGAGGTTTGAGACTAATCTCTCTATGTAGTTCTGACTGTCTTGGAATTCACTGTATAGACCAGGCTGGCCCTGCCTCTCTGCCTCTGAATACTGGGATTAAAGGTGTGTGCCACCAATCTGACATCAGCAACCAGTACTCTTAATCCCTGGACTACCTCTCCAGCCCCTTAATTGTGCTGTTTGTGCCTCTCTGCCCCTCTCTGCCCCCCCCTTCTCTTTCTCTCTCTCTCTCTCCCAGACACACACACTCTCTGTCTCTCACACACACACTCACACACACAGACACACATCTACACACACACAAACACACACACACACTTTCTAAAAATACATCCAGTAATATTGACTTTTTATTTTACATGTGGAAGTTTCTTTTTTTTTAATATTTATTTATTATATACACAATATTCTGTCTGTATGTATGCCTGCAGGCCAGAAGAGGGCACCAGACCTCATTACAGATGGTTGTTAGCCACCATGTGGTTGCTGGGAATTGAACTCAGGACCTCCAGCCCCCAGTAATATTGACTTTTATCTCATATTAAAAATACAAATAATTGGGGCTGGAGAGATGGCTCAGAAGTTAAGAGCATTGCCTGCTCTACCAAAGGTTCTGAGTTCAATTCCCAGCAACCACATGGTGGCTCCCAACCATCTGTAATGAGACCTGCTGCCTTCCTTGCCAGCAGTACATTGTATGCTTAATAAATAAATCTTTAAAAAAAAACAGCAAAAGAGACAGCATCTTAGGAAAGAGTTTTGGAGATGAAAAAAGCAAAGGCTACAGGAAGGCAGGCCGTGAGTGCGTCACGGAGTAATACTGGACCACTTTCCTTGAAAGTGACCTTAAAAATGAGAGACGGCTCAGTGGTCAAGAGTACTCGCTGCTCTTTCAGAGGACCTGGGTTGGTTCCCAGCACCCACATTAGGAAGTTCCCAGCTGCCGTTAAATGCAGTTCCAGACACTCCAGGTCCTTCCCCTGCCTTCCCAGAGCACACATGGTGCACATGCGTGACTCACACACGCACACACACAAATTAAAATAACCAAATTTTAAAAATGGACTCAACAGGGCACTGTGACACATTTAAGCCCAGCACTTGGATGGCAGAGGCATCTGTGAGTTAAAAGCTATCCTGGTCTACAGAGCGAGTTCCAGGACAGCCAATGCTACATGAAAGATCCTGTCTCAAAAAACTAACAAAAAAATCTTAATAGTAAAAAATGGACTTGATCACATTTTCAAGATATTCATTGTTATTGATAAACCATCAGCAGGCATGAGTGGCAGTTAACACAGTTAATCACAACCACTCTTGAATGTACTGTTAGTATTTTTTTCCTTTCCAATACATGATCTTGTATAGTCTACTGGAGTGCACACAGGCCTGACCACAAAGTGGACTGGAGAGAGCTCTCTTCTAGAAGACGAGTTTGGGTCCCAGCACCACATCTGGAGGCTAAACTACCTCTAATCCCAGCCCAAGGGGATTTGCTGGCCTCTTCTGGCTTTAATGAGTACCCACATTAATGTACACACACACACACACACACACACACACACACACACACACACGAATATAAAATGAACATGAAGAAACATAATACACATTATATGGTAACATTCCTTAAAAACAAAGAAAGAAACAAACCAGAGTCTGACTTAGGATCTCCCACCTCAGCTTCCCTGAAGCTGGCTGGAGGTGTGTGCCACCATGCTGAAGTTAGTATTCCTCAAGTCTGGAGAAGGCTGAGGATGTGCTAGGTGGGGAAGACCATTAGGTAACCACTGCTGGAGATTACGTGCAGAGACCAGGGGGCTGATGAAGGACCACTGGTTTCCACATGGCGGGGTTAGAGAAAAGTGGTTATAGAGTCTGTAGAAGGAAGAGGACAGGCGCAGCCCTCGGGATTTTGCATAGGTAGTAAGTGTGTGAGGGCTGGGGGTGGGAAGGTGGGAGAGGAGCTGAGTATAATAGTGCATGTCTACAATCCCGGGACTCAGGAAGCAGATGCGGGATGCTGCAAGTTCAAGGCCAGCCTCGGCTATGCAGCGAGTTCCAGATCACTAGCACTATACAATGAAACCCTGTCTCAAAACAAACAACAAAAAAGAAAGCAAAGCAAAGCAGGAAACAGGAAATAACAATCTGGACCACAGGTCATAAAGGAACTGACGAGCATGGAATGGATAGGTGCTGACAGCTATGGGGTCGTTTGTTTCTGAGACAGAGTCTCACGTATTCCAGGTGAGCCTCAGACCTGTCATGTAGCTGAGGATGAACTACGGATCCTCCTCTCCCCACCTTTAGAACGTTAAGATTGTAGACCTGTGCCACCATGCCCAGGTGCTGTGGTGATGTGGACTGAGCCCGAAGCTCCATGCCCAGGTGCTGTGGACTGAGCCCGGAGCCATGCCCAGGTGCTGTGGTGCTGGGGACTGAGCCCGGAGCCATGCCCAGGTGCTGTGGTGCTGGGGACTGAGCCCGGAGCTCCATGCCCAGGTGCTGTGGTGCTGGGGACTGAGCCTGGAGCTCCATGCCCAGGTGCTGTGGTGATGTGGATTGAGCCCGGAGCTCCATGCCCAGGTGCTGTGGTGCTGGGGACTGAGCCCGGAGCCATGCCCAGGTGCTGTGGTGCTGGGGACTGAGCCCGGAGCCATGCCCAGGTGCTGTGGTGCTGGGGACTGAGCCCGGAGCTCCATGCCCAGGTGCTGTGGTGCTGGGGACTGAGCCCGGAGCTCCATGCCCAGGTGCTGTGGACTGAGCCCAGAGCTCCATGCCCAGGTGCTGTGGTGCTGGGGACTGAGCCCGGAGCTCCATGCCCAGGTGCTGTGGTGATGTGGACTGAGGCTGGAGCCATGCCCAGGTGCTGTGGTGCTGGGGACTGAGCCCAGAGCTCCACGCATGTGCTGTGCAAACACTGCCGACTGAGCTACACTCCCAGTCCCTGCATGTTGAACACATGCTTCTGATGTTCTGTCCAGACAGACCTCTAGCATGGACAGAGGGGTCTGAGAGTCACAGAACCTGTGAATCCAAAGCGATTCTGACTGTGTATACAGAAAAAGAGGATGCAAAAAAGTGAACCAATTGAAACTTGGGGAAAACCAACACTTTAAAGGTTGGAAGAGGAGGAGTATTATGAAAGAAGATAGAAAACAGGACAAGGACCAAGGTACTGCCTTTGATTCAAGGACAAACAACTTCAAGAATGACTAGCAATACATTTTCTTCTCCTGCAAGTGAATGCAAAATTTTAGGAGACAGATAAAAGACACTAATAAATCTGTAATAGCATTGACTACTGGCGGGTGGTGGTGGCACACACCTTTAATCCCAGCGCTCGAAAGGCAGAGGCAGGCGGATCTCTGTGAGATTGAGGCCAGCCTGGGCTACAGGATGAGTACCAGGACAGGCTCCAAGACCCTGTGTCAAACAAAAACCAAAAAGTGTCGAATACTGAACAGGTTTCCCCTGGCAGGTCATAGTTGGTAGACATTTTGGACAGACAAGAATCAGAAAATTAGACAGGAGGAACTAGGGAGATGGCTCAGTATGTAAGAACACTTATTGCTCTTACAGAGGACCTGGGTTCAGTTTCCAGCATCCGCATGGAGTCTAATACCTGTTTTTAACTCCAGTTCCAAAGGATAGACACCTTCTGACCTCCAAGGGCACCAGGCACACACACGGTACACACACAAACACCCAGACAAAACATTCCTTTAGAAATCTAAACTGAGTGATGGTGGCACACGCCTTTAATCCCAGCACAGAGGCAGAGACAGAGGCAGGCGGATCTCTGTGAGTTCAAGGCAGCCTGGTCTACAGAGTGAGTTCCAGGACAGTCAGAACTAAAATCTTAAAAACATTGTCTTTTACAAGCCTCACTTTGGAACCCCGCCACGAATCAGGATCCTCTTACCTGTCACCCTCGTGCCGGGATCACGTGCATCACCATGGCCAGCTTTGTAACCTCCGTTTTCCGTACCACTTCATATTCAAATGTCTACCCGGAAACCCTCACATACAGGACATCTTCCCATAAACTAACCACGTGATCTAACAATTTCACCCCCACCCATGTCTGCTTCTTGGGCACTCACAACTTAGAGCTCAAGTCAGTGTCAGGATAAAATGGGTTCATTCAAGTACAATAATTTATTTCTCTCAAAATCAAGACATTTTCGTTACAGCAGTACTGCTGTAAGGAGATGGACAAAGGGTCAGCGAGCAATGTAACGAGCCAGTCTGTGAACAGTGGCCATAAACAGAAGGTATACCTAGGGAAGGCTCAAGTTCATCTGACTGGAATTTGGTACCGGCCTTGGAATCGGGGAGGCAGGTGAGCCATCTAGAGAAGACTACTTGAGAAGGCACCCCCCTTCAGCACTACAGACAGTGTCACATGTCTCTCCAGCCCAGACCTTAACTAGAGACCCTGGCCCTAACTGAAAATGTTTCATGGCAGCAAATCCTAACATCCAGGCAGCAGAAACGACATTGCTAAGCAAATGTTCCTATTTCCTGAAACAAAAAACAACAACAACAACAAAAAAGGAAGTATCTCACCTTAGACATGGCTTTTAGATTCGTGAGAGATGAGCCTCGTCGTCTGGGCTCCTCTTTTGGAAGAGGAAAGAGTCCTATGAAGGCAAAGATGGAGGTTCGTGAGGAGCCAGGAAAAAAGCACGCTCCAATTAGATCTCCCAGAATAACTCGATTAGATCCGCATACATTTCCAGTGTTTCTGCACATGCCTTCTCTGAGTGCACTTCCAAAACCCGGGACAAAGGTCTGTGTAGGAGTAAACAAGTCCTGCATTCTCTCCCAAACCAGAAACCTCGTCTCTTGCTGAGCTAGGAAGGATTCCGTGGAAGCTGCTGCAGCTTGCAAATGCAGTGTTCTGTTCTGACTAGGGACACAGCCCTTGACAGCACAAGCAAGACTCTGAGTACTGTGCTCGGCACTGCCCAAGCCACAGCTTCTTCACGACCTGCGCAGTCACCAGCAGTACCTGACAGTCCCTTCCCCAGCCCAGATGGATGCAGATGAGAAGCCCCGAGTCTTTATCAGATCTGCACTGCCATCTGAAGGGATCTATTTCTTACTGTGATCAGCTTCCTTTACCACGTTTACCATTTCCCCTGTCTTGTAATGATGTCTGGTTTTCCTAATTGGTTGGCTCCACCTTCTGATTTTTTTCCCTCGTGTTCTATCACTGAACTATATTCTCAGATCCTATTTTCTGCTTAAGATGCAAATCGTTTTGAGAGTCAAATAACTTTTATTAGTTTCGTGTCTTTGGCTTTCATTGTGAAAATCTCCTGTAAACTGTTTAGCTGTGTTTTATATTGTATAACTGATGTCTCCTCAACTAAGAGTAAATGCCATTTTTTTTTTAAATTTTCAAAACAGGGTTACTCTGTGTAGCCTTGGCTGTCCTGGAACTCACTCTGAGCCTCTGTCTCCCAAGTGCTGGGATCAAAGGTCTGCACCACCACTGCCAGGCAAGTAAATGCCACCTTCATTACATATTAAACTTCTTTACATGTTTCAAAAGATCGGGTCATGTTGTGTGATCTTTTACTCTTCTGCTCACCACCCAGTTCTCAAATAAATCTTACATGGAGGCTTATTCTTAGTCATGAATGCCCAGCCTTAGCTTGGCTTGTTTCTTTGAAGCGTGTTTGGAGGTTCTAGCAGGGGAGACAGCTATTCGTGTACCCTTGACCAAAGACTGGTCCTCCTCTTCCGCTGAGTGTGCAGCTCCAGGGGGGGACACACAAGGGGTGGCAATGGAGGAAGGCGGCACCCGCCTAGCCAGCCAGATCAGCTGAATCAACCCTGGCGATCAATGGGGTGACAGATGTCGCAGTCAGATCACCCTCACATCCAGCTTGCCTTGTTTCTTGACAGCTTTTCTTAACTAATTAACCTGTCTACCTTTTGTTTCTGCTTTTACCTTTCTCTTACTTTTGTATATCTTATTTCCACTCTTACTCCGTGGCTGGCCTGACATCCTCTTCTCCTTGTTCTCTTTTGCTCCTGATTCTCCATGTTTGTTTATCCTCTCTGCCTCCAGCCCCACCTATCCTTGCTCCTGCCTCACTATTGACCGTTCATCTCTTTGTTAGGACCATGAGGTGTTTTAGACAGGCACAGCAGCGGAAACAAAAGTCACACACCTGAAAATAATATTCCCCAACATGGTCATGTATTACATTTCCCCACAGGCAGAAAATATCTGGATTTTCTATTCCCATTTTATCTCCTTATTGATTTCTTTGTATCATACTATTTCAGAAGCATAGTTAGCGGCTGGAGAATGGCTCAGTGGTTAAGAGCACTTGCTGCTCTTGCAGAGGCCGCAGGCTCAGTTCCCAGCACCCACATGGTAGCTCAAAGACACTGGTTAACTCTAGTTCCAGTGGGGATAACCTCTTAAGACCGCCGTGGGCATCAGGCACACACGGTGCAATACATTCATGCAGGCAAAACACTCATGTACATGAAAACAAATCTTTAAAAAGCATAGGTATATAAGCATATATTGTTAAATAAACAATACTTATTACTAATACTTAATTCTAGAAGTAAATACTGCACAACATGTTTTAGTAGTATAGATATGGACACAGAAAAGAAACTGGCCACTCTTGCCATTTTGCAGGCTCCCATTTGGCTAAGTCTGGAGTGCAGACTGCTCCGGTGGAGTTCTGGTTGGCAGAGGTACTTTCATTACCAGGACAAGGCTGGTCTTAGAAGTAAAAGTGTGCTAACTATTTTCATAGTTTTCAGGAGCAGAAGAATCCACTTACACAAATATGCAGAAAGTGGTAGCTACAAGCAGAAAGTGCTACCCCTCCAGCAGGCTCCCAAGCAACACCGTTCATTTTAACATCACGCTGGGCTTCGCCACTGTGGATTATGAAAATCTTACCTATTCCTTTCCAACATGAATGCCATCATATTTGCTAAGCTCCTACTTAGAAATTCATGAGGCAGGCTTGCTGGCTACTAATCTGATAACTGAATAGTAGGTAACTTCCAGGCACACATCACCTGGAAGCCCAACAGCTGGAATACATCTCTGTCTTTAAAAAAAAAATTACACGTGTGGTGATACAGCATTCCTCAATCATTGAAGTATCAAGGGTACTACAGACATAAAACCATGAGGAACAACAGAAGAACGCACACATGCGCTTAGTGAGAGCCTTTCAAACATCCTTCAGAAACCCACCAAACTACAGATTCCCATGTCATTCGTGACCACAGAACGTGGTACAATTCCAGGCAAAGTCACTCACAATCACGTTCACAGATCACTTTCAATTATCCTGTCTCAAGTACGAGTCACACCTAATCTAAAAATAGAGGCGTGGCGCAGTAATCCTAAGCAAGTCTCCATCATCCATGTTTCACACATCCAAGGAGATCGCACTGGTTTCCCCACCAAAAAAAAAAAAAAAAAGGGAGACAAACCCCAACTTGCGCCCTACATCCTCACAGGCAACGATCGTACTGCCCAGGGTCCTGCTCCCAGCCACTGAGCTTCCTTGCACTTAAACACGCAAAGTACCCCTGCGCCCTTGGGTCACCAGCAGTCATCCTCAGGGTCACGCCCACGGACCACGCCCGAGGCCCTGTGCTGAGGCTCAGAGTGTCCGGGTCCCGCTTCCTTACCCCCCAAATTACCAGGCCCGGCTCGGCCTCCCGGTCTCCTCCCCGGCCTCCCCATCTGGATTCGCTCTCTCTGTCGCTCTCGGGATCCGGAGCATCCATCCACTGCGATCCTCAGCTTCTTCAGACGCCCCAGGAGCCAGCAGCCTCACATCCCTGCCGCGGCTCAGCCGTCTGCGCCTGCGCACGCATCCCGGGGGTTCGCACTCCCAGGAGCCTCTGGGGCAGCCCGTTAGATGCTGGGGCGCCTGTCTCTCTCCCTGCGCCTGAACCTCTGTCTTCTTGGCTGGGCCTGAATGGCTTCCACCCCGACCTCAGGCCGGCCCTGGAAGCTCGGCTTCGGGGTCCCCTTCCTCTGCCGTGGACATCTTTTTTCTCTTTCTTTTCCCTGTGTGCTGAGTTGAGCTGACTCGGGTCCGAGTGGAAGTGGTTCTTCCGATTTCCTGGTACTTGGGACCCTGTGTGGGACTTTGGGACCTTGTGGCTGTCAGCTGCTCGTGGGAGTGCGTGGCTACCTCGGTGTGGGGTGTGCCCAGTGGGAGCGCTTGACTGGCTCTGATTAGGTGACTGAATGGGACCGGGCTCTTTGTGATAATGTCATACTGTGACCACTTGATCTCGTGACAGCGCTATGCATTGATCAATTTGGGCCCAATGTAGCCCCCATACCCATTCTTCTTAGTATGGTAGAATTTCATTTTAACAGTTCTAAGCTGAAAATTATGGGCAGGAGGTCCAGTTGAGAGACTGCGAGGTGTGGGCTGTGTTGCGTTCTCATTTCGGTCTGTACACATTGTCTCCCCCATCGGTAATACACAGAAAACATCCAGTGTTACTGGGGGGCGGCAGGAGTGCAGGGATGCCATCGAGAAGTGGTTTCTTGGAATGTGCGCACTGGGATTTCTGTCACTGCCTCTGTCATTTCGCCAGGTAGCCACAGAGAAATGGCTATTAAAAGGGAAGCTGATAGTTGGAACCTAGAATGAAGGTTCAGACTTAAATACCACAGCCTTGTGTTCAGGATGGAGCTCTTAGGAAGGGGATTTTCCCCCAAGGTAAAGTGTAAGAGAAGATGGAGTCTTGAGGTTCCAAGAATAGGATTCCAATGGCCATTTTAGAAGTCCTGTGGTATTTATTAATAATTTTCCAATGATTTAATCCAATATGGTGTATTGATTGGTCATTCAACAGAAAAAGGCAATGATAAAACTACATTCATTCTCTCTTTTAGATGAAACAATATTTAATCTGAAAGGAAAATTTAATCCCAATTGTATGTTTTTTGGAAGGAAAATCTTACTATCAGAAATGTGTTATATTGATGAAGTATGATTTCTTAAAAATGTACAAAACTTTGTAGCCTAATTTAATTTGTTTTTAGTACTGTACTCTGTCATATTTCCAACCTATTTCCTCAAAGTGTTCATAATAGATTTCTTTCCTAATTCTTTAGAAAAAAATGCTTTCAATGTAGATAGGTTTTACTATGTTTTTTTGAGGGGGTGTAATTAATAATCTCACTGAGGAAAATATTCCATACACAAGTTGACCTACATATTTCTATTTTAGCATTATATAAACGTCGTTAGGCACTGAAGTGCTTGCTGCACAGGCATGACCACCTGAGCTCATCCTAACGCTAGGAAACCTGGTATGGGATGGTACAGGCTTGTAATTTCAGTGCTGAAGAGGCAGGCAGGAATATCTTTGGGGTTCACAAGTCAGGGAGCCTAGCTGAGTCAGCAAGCCCCAGATTTCATGAAGGTGAACAGCCCAGACATGGGACACTCGAGGATGTCAGCCAGCAGCAGGCATATACAGATGTGACACACAGACACACACACACACACACACACACACAGAGAGAGAGAGAGAGAGAGAGAGAGAGAGAGAGAGAGAGAGAGAGAGAGTTGTTTTGATTGTTTTGAGATAGGTCTTGCTATTTAGCTCTCGATGACCTGGAACTCACTTGTAGACTACGCTGGCCTTGAACTTGCAGGGACGTGCCTGCCCTGCCTCCCAGGCCACAGGATTAAAGGCACCACCATTCCTGGCACATTTTTAAGAGGAAAAAATTGTTTTGGAGATGGAGGTCTCACTGTGTAGTCCTGGCTGACTGACATCTGCCTGGCTCTGCCTTTGGAGTGCTGGGATTAAGGGGAAGTGCCACTATACCCAGCAGGAATATTCATTATCAGTGATTTGGTATACATTGCCATTTTCTGTTTCCCCAACCTCCAAAATTCATGTGAATTACTTAAACAATACCTTGATAATTCTCAGTTGTAACTGGTTTTATTGTATTTCAGCGCATGTTGGGAGAAAAAGGGAGCACTAATGATATTCAAATGAAGCTTTTCAGTATTTACGTCTTTGGGAATTATATGTCAATTATTCATAATTACCAGGAGAACAGGCAGACGGTTATGTGAAGCAGTACCCAGTTATATGTTTTAAAATATTGTTTCAAAGATTAAATGACATCCACAGAATAATATTAATCTCCTCAAACCAAATTTCTTAGGAGATATCATTGTGTCAACAGCATTGTTGGTGCGGGAGAGATGGCTCAGGGGTTAAGGGCACTGGCTGTTCTTCCAGAGGACCTGGATTCAATTCCCAGCACCCACATGGCAGCTCACAGCTGTCTGTAACTCCAGTTCCAAGGACTCTGATGCCCTCTTTGGTCTCTTCAGGCACCAGAAACACAAGTAATACAGAGATATACCTCAAACCAAGCACCCATACTCATAAAAACAAATACAATTTAAAGGAAAATTACAGGTTAGCCAGGCAGTGGTGTTGGTACACACCTTTAGTTCCAGTACTTGGGAGGCAGAGGCAGATGGGTCTCTGTGAGTTAGGCTAGCCAGAACTAAATAGTAAGACCCTGTCTCAAACAAAAAGACAACCACACTGTCAAGATGGATTAATAATTTCTGCTAATAAGATGTTAGTTATTATAAATATGCATAAACATGAATTGAACAGGGAATAAGATTGATCTTTTGTTAATATTTTCTTTCATTTTTATTTGTTAATTTTGAGAGAAGATTGTGTAGCCCAGGCTGGCCTCAAACTGTCTTTGTAGCAGAGGCTAACTCCTGATCCTGCAGCATCTTATCCCAGCGCTGGGATAGTAGGTGTATGCTATCATGTCTCTGTTAATATTTTAAATTTGTTACCTAGTCAGCACCTTTTGGGGTTTGTTTTGTGTTTTGTGTATTTATTTTGTTTTATTGTTTTTCCCTCAAGACAGGGTTACTCTGTGTAGCCTTGATTGTCCTGGAACATGCTTTGTAGACCAGGCTGACCTACAACTCAGATATCAATCTGCCTCTGTCTCCTAAATGCTGGAACTAAAGGGTGAGCCACCATACCTTGTGTTAAGCAGCAATTTTTAATCTGTTGTTTTTTTAAAAATTGGGTTCTATTTAGGTTAAAATGTGGAAAAATCACAAGTATATTGGTGTGTTTGGGTTATCTATTTTTTTTTCTGTTTTTTACTACATATTCTTGGATGGCCTGGAACTTACTATGTCCACCAGGCTGTGGGGTATCCCTCAGAGAAGACTGCTCAGACATGGGTTTAAACCAATAGAAGTCCTTACTAGCTCACCCGTGAACTACACTGGTATTCAGGATCCCCATGGAGCCCTGAGTCTTTCTCAGGGTGAGCTTTGGGCTGACAGACTTCAGTTAACAAGAACAGTTAGCCAAAAGCAGAACTGCAGAAGCCAAACCACAAGACTAGCACATTTAGAGCCTTTCCTAGAACTATGGACTTTGATGGGTTAGCTCTTTGTTTTCATTTTGGCAAGGGGTGCCGTGTACATACTGAGTTTTACAGCCAAATAGAGTCAGTTGTGCTAAGGTCTGGGTCCTGTTACACTACAGCTTCTGACTCTTTTTTAAAAAGATTTATTTCTTTGTGTAGTTTATGTATATGGGTGTTTTGTATGTGCGTACTTCTGCACACCAGAAGAGAGCATCAGAAGCAATGACAGTACAGTTATAGATGTCTGTGAGCTGCAATGTGGGTGCTGGAAACTGAACTCAAAACTCCTGGAAGAGCAGACAGTGCTCTTGATGGCTGAGTCACCTTCCTGCCCTCCAGCTCCCGAGTACTGATCCTGCAGGTGTGCACCACCTACCAGGCAAGACTGTCTAATCTGCATTAGGAGGATCTCGTCAATGCACAAAGGTTATGACTCATTTTATTTGGATTATATGTTGTGGAATAATCTTTTTGTGCACCGTGAAGATGTGCTGCTCTCATTGTTAATAAAAGCTGATTGGCTGGGCTGGAGAGATGGCTCAGTGGTTAAGAGCATTGCCTGCTCTTCCAAAGGTCCTGAGTTCAATTCCCAGCAACCATATGGTGGCTCACAACCATCTGTAATGAAGTCTGGTGCCCTCTTCTGGCCTGCAGACATACACGCAGACAGAATATTGTACACATAATAAATAAATATAAAAAAAGTCATTGATTAAAAAAAAAGCTGATTGGCTGACAGCTAGGCAGGATTGCTGGAGCAGAGAGAATGCTGAGGAGAAGGGCAGAGTAGGGGGAGACCCCATGAGATTGTTGGGGCAGAGAGAATTCTGGGGAGAAGGGCAGAGTATGGGGGAGACGCCATGAGATTGTTGGGGCAGAGAGAATGCTGGGGAGAAGGGCAGAGTGTGGGGGAGACGCCATGAGATTGTTGGAGCAGAGAGAATGCTGGGGAGAAGGGCAGAGTGGGGGAGATGCAGAGTGAGAAGGCTGAACAGTACACAGATGAGGTAAACGAGCCTTGGGACAGCACAAAGATTAATAGAAATGGATTAATTTAAATTATAAGATTTAGCTAAAAGCAATCCTAAGCTATGAACCAAGCATTTACAGTTAATAATCAGCCTCAGTGTGGATATTTGGGAACTGGCTGTCAGGACAGTGAAGTCTGCCTACAATTATACACTTTAAAAAAATAAGTAGTGCTTGCCAACACACTTGCCAGGGTATCACCTAGGCTTTGGGACCGTTGATTCAATGTGTTGTCCTTATTCCCAAGACTCACACTATGACACTGCTGTCATTCTCAGAGCTCTTTCTTAAATTCCTTAAAAGTTACTGTTTATTTACATTTGAGTTGCGTCCAGTTTGCCTTTTCTGTTTCCTGTAAGTTCTAGTTTGACGACATGTATTTTCCTGTTTGCCAACCTGGAGCACAGGTATGAAACAAA